CAAATCATTCGGCCGGCTCCTTTGCAGCCTATTCCGGTGATGGGAAAGCCATTTGAGCGTCTTATTCTAGACTGTGTTGGCCTTTTGCCAAAGTCAAAAGCTGGTGGTTACCAGTATATTTTGACCTTAATGTGCACGACAACACGTTTCCCTGAGGCAGTGCCATTACGTAATCTTAAAGCAAAAACGATTGTGAAAGAATTGATTAAATTTTGCTCAACATTTGGTCTTCCTCGTGTGATTCAGACGGATCAAGGAACAAATTTTAAATCTAAAGTGTTTGAACAAGTGTTGAAGGGAATTTCTGTGAGTCACGTAGTGTCAAGTGCGTATCATCCGCAATCACAGGGAGCTCTCGAGCGATTTCACCAGACACTTAAATCAATGATGCGAGCTCACTGTGTTGAGTCTGGTAAGGACTGGGCTGATGATCTTCCTTTGCTCTTATTTGCGTTAAGAGAAACCGTTCAAGAGTCATTAGGTTATAATCCTGCGGAGCTCATTTTTGGTCACACGATTCGTGGCCCGTTAAAATTATTAAGTGAACAATTGGTTGGTGATAACGTTCCGCTTGTTCCTGTGTCTGAATATGTTACTTCTATTCGTGAACGCCTTCGCAAGGTATGTGAGAGAGCGAGAATGAATTTGGCAGAGTCTCAGGCTGAGATGAAGGAGTATTATGACCGTAAATGTGTCGGTCATTCATTTCAGCCGGGTGAGTCAGTTTTGGTGTTACTGGCTACGCCAGGTTCTGCTTTGAAACCTAGATTCTCAGGTACTTATACAGTGACGAAGAAGTTGTCTGACACGAATTATTTGATTTGCACGCCTGATCGGCGAAGAAAGTCACGATTGGTTCATGCTAACATGATGAAGTCTTATGTGAAGGATGAGTCTGCATCAGCTGCATTTACAGTTAAAAGAGGATATTGCCGTTGTTCGCCCACGCAGCTTCTTATCAAATGCAAGTAAACTTTTGAATCATTTAAATTAGCATTATTTTATATTTTATTTAATTATTTTACAGCATTATTAAATATAGCATTATTTATTATGCCAAAAATAATGCTAATTTAAATGTTTCAAACATTTACTTGCATTTGATAATATGATGTCATGCATCCCACAAGCTGTTAAATGTTACATTCATACACATTATATGATATTATTGATATTCGGCTGGCTTTAATTTTATAAATAAAAGTGCAATTACAATTCCCAACCGCTAGATGGCAATTGTAGCCCTACTGAGACATGACTACTGGCAACGTTAGAGATCAGTGTTGTGTTTTGAAATTTTTTTACACGAGCGAGCACTAAGTTTACTTGTCGGAGAGCAGCGGGCAAACAACAAACGATAAAGGACATTCCTACTTGGTCTTGTAAGTATCTGTGCTTTCGTTTTGACGTGTGTTCATTATTTATCTATATTATTTGTTATCATGTTTAGGAACCGTGACATTTTAGTGAAGGGAGCAGATCGTAGTTGATAGTGATCCGTGACTAGGCCCACGGTTCAGCACGCATGTGTTCAGAGGATCAATTGCAAAATTTAATAGACTAAAAGTTTTATCATTTGTAGTGTTTACAAGCTCAGTCGATTTTAAAACAGCACAAGAAGAGGCGAAAGAGCAAACAACAGAACAAACACAGCTTTGACAAAGATTAATCCATATTAATTTATACAGTGAACACACTCAGAAGAATTGGAGAAACTGAGGAGGAGTTTCAACATCTGGAAAAGATCCGGGCAGCAATGGTAAAAAAA